TGCTTTTGACCGATTTATTTTTTGCCGCCTGGTCACACATTGTGGCAACAACTCTTAAACCGGCTGCTTGTGATGCACTTAATTCTTTCACAGTCTTGGAATTCAAAACAATCAATGACGATGCACTCAACAAATTAATTCAGATGACATATGCATTATTTTATGACGTCAAATGGACCTGCGTTTTTATGACTGGTTTTTATATCCACCATGCTATGTCGGTCATTGTCATTTCCTATCCAGTAAACAAAGATAGCTAACTCACCGGTGAAGTCACAGATTAGAATAAAAACGAGGGGGACGTTGAGAAACGGCGATATGGGCGCACAGCGGTGTAGTCATGAACTAAAACAAAAAGTAGAAGGGATGAATCCAGTGAATGTTCTATTTAAGAATTTATAAATCACTTTTCTATGGCTCACATTATGCTCACACGTACTAAAAATAACGTCAATGTCAAAATGTCAATAGTTTTCGAGTTTTCCAGTATTAATTATTAGGTGCTTTCTAGCTGACGCTTTTGAGCACGCTTGTCTTTTTTCAATCGTGTTCATTAGAAAAAAATAAATAACAAACAGCTGGTGATCGGCTGTTACAATCCAAGGAGAATGCACACTCTAATGTCTCATTCTAACTTGCGCGAAATTTGCTCTGTTTTGACATTCCCTGCGTTTTTATTCTCATCAAATTTTAGTGATGATATATCCACCATTCTATGTCGGTCATTGTCATTTTCTATTCACTAAACGAAGATAGCTAACTCATCGGTGAAGTCACCGATTAGAATAAAAAAGAGGGGATATCTTCGACAATTTGACATTTTATGCGTGTATCAAACGTCAATTTGTCGATGCAATGTCAAAAAAGAGTGAATTTCGCGCAAGTGAGAATGGGGCATAAAGAGTGCTTATCAGTTTCGTTTTTGGTAATCGCCGCCATATTGGTGTGATACCATTTCCGACGTCATAACTAAAGCCTTGTACTCAGAACTGCGAAATTCGCACTTTTTTGACATAGCGTCGACAATTTGACGTTTTATGCATGATTCAAACGTCAAATTGTCGAAGCAATGTCAAAAAAGAGCGAATTTCGCAGTTATGAGTACTAGCAGGCTTGAGTCGTCAGCTGTTCAAACAGACTATGTCAAGAGTCAAGGCAAGAAATTACATTCTGTCTACGTCGCAACTGGTATTTTGGCGGGGGGGATTTGATACACAGAGAATAGGCCATCCTGTGGTAGTAGTGAGTGTGTATCATCCTTGAATGGAATCAGCGTTTCTAAAACGGTTTCTTGACAATCTTGACACGTGACGTGACATACATAGTTCTTTTCTAAAAAGTTGGGCGCTTGCTCTTTGCTATTCCACGAGTTATGACGACGTGTTGGGACGAATTGAATTTAATTTTTATTTTTTTTCGGCTAATAAATACCAAAAATGCCCACAAAATGCTCACATTTTGCCAATGCTCCCATTTTTACCCCCAGATATATCAAATGATCACAAATGTGAGCAAATGCTCACACATTGGTAACACTGCCCGTTCGACTGATTCTGCCCGTCTGCGCTGGCTGCGGCGCCGACCCTACGTGGTGGCGTGCCCTCCTGTCCTGACCGGTACAAGTACAAATGCCTGAGCACGCGCCTGCGCCATACACTTCGGCTTCACGAATATTCACGATGTTTGAAAGTTGAAAAGAGAGAAGACTTTTATCAATACATATTTTATTTTATTCCAAGTTGTAAGTCGAATGAAAAATTAAATTTTGCTGTTGTTACAATACAAAATTAATATTAAGTACCTTATCTATATACATTACAGGTATATTATGGAATTTGAAATTAGTTTGTGTGTGTGATAGAGACATTTTCAGAAATCACACAAAATTGGCAAATTTAATACTGAGTCCTGCCGGTCTGAGGTCCTACCTAGTTTTGTAAAATAATGTTAGCCATTTTTCAGCTGTAATAAGTATCTAATTTTGAGAACGAAAAATCTTTTTGTCGATAGATATTTTCGAAAGGATGTTTCTAAAACATTTCAGGACAATCATCCTAGAGATGTTACATTACAAACATCGCAGCGATGTACCATTTATGTCGGAAACATAAGGACCTTAATGGTACATAAATAGGATGTTTCTGGGAGATCGGTGTTATTAGGGCAGCTTTAGTTATACGGAGTTTTATTTGTTAGCTTCAAATTTTTGTAACGTAAATTCGATCAAAATGGTCAAGTTGCGTTGGAGAGGAGCATATGATTCTTCAGTGGTGCCATCTGTTGATAATTCTCTCAAATAACCACAAGTGACGTCAGAATCTTTTGGCGTCCATTTAAATTGGTGAGTGCTAATATCAAATTTGATTTTTTCTTGCTTTTCTAACTGTGTCCATGTACTTATTTTTTCGTTATTAAACCCAAACATTACACAAAGTCTTGAAGACGTCTTTTTAGTTCTGCATTATGTCTGAAGACCAAAAAAATACGCCTACAAGACGTTTTGATACTTTTTCAGTTTAATTTCTATTCTAGGAGAGCCAGGAACAATTTTACTGTTTTTCTACTTGAAATTCGACTCCAAAGGGATCAAAAATTGGTCTTTTTTGTCTTTGGGCTAATCACAAAGCTTCGTACAAAATTCTATCAATGTAACTTCAATTGATTATACTTCAAATTCTAAGTCGGATCATTCGAATCAAATCTTATAGCTACTTCTACCAAGAATCTAGCGGAATGTTTTGTGGAGGATCACGTCATCCTAGATAACTCAGCTTCAGATGCTACTTGTCAAAAATGATCCAAGAAATGATATTTCGCCAGAGTTTGTAACAGTAAAAAGCATGACTCTAGGAAACTGTCAGCTTCCATCGTTACTGCAATTTTAGAGACTGCAGCTTCGACACCAGGACTTGGAATAGCTACAATTGATGCAAAAATTTGTGGACAACCAGTTAAAGCTCTTATTGACACAGGAAATATATCAAGTTTCATAAACGCTTCTCTTCTTGAGAAACTTAAGATTCCATAAATTCCTGCTCAGCAACGAGTGAATATGGCGTGAATATCATTGGTCTCTCAAGTTGAAGAAAGTTGTACTGTCACTAGAAACAAATACCCGTACATATGAAAACTTGACATTACTGGTTATGAAAAATCTTTGCTCAGATATTAGATTGGGACACGATTTTCTACATCATCATTCTAAACTTGAGATGTATTGCAGACCTGTAGCTATTAAATCTAAGAAACAAACACTAGAAGATCTGAAATTTATCGAACAAGAAGTCCGGATAATGCTTTCTGAAGGTATCATCGAAAAGAGTAATTCGCCTTGGAGAGCTCAACCTTTAGTCACTTCTAGTCATAAAGAGACGAATGGTAATCAACTATATGCCCAGACTAAAATAAATTCACTGAACTAGACACATATCCACTTCCAAACATAGAAGACATTATTTCAAAAGTGTCAAGGTACCAAGTTTTTAGCACTATAGATCTAAAGAGTGCATATCACCAAATTCCAATTCTCGAACATGAAAAACCTTATACAGCGTTTGAGGCGTGCGGCGAACTATATCAATTCACGAGAATTCCTTTTGGTGTTACCAAGGGAGTTGCTAGTTTTCAAAGAGTTGTTGACAGTAGGTATAATCAAGAAAGAAAATCTTCAAGACACATATGCTTATCTTGATGATATAATAGTAGGTGGTAAGACTCAAGAAGAGCATGACAAAAATCTTCAAAAATTCTTCATAGTTGCTGAAAAGTATAAACTTACTATAAACTCTACTAAATCAAAGTACGGACATAGAAAAATAAATCTTCTAGGATATGAAATTGAAAATCAATAAATCAAACCTGATCCTCTGATTGACTTCGTCCATTCTTAGAATTGCCTCCTCCAGGAGATTATTCTTCATTAAAACGAGTATTGGAAATGTTTTCCCATTATGCGAAATGGATTCCAAGATTTTCGAATAGAATCAGACCACTCGTACTAACACTCCTATGTCATTCTATCGACTTTCAAAGCTCTGAAAGAAGATATTTCAAAAGCTGTTATCACTGCCATTGATGAAAATCTCACATTCACAGTAGAACCAGACGCATCAGATTATGCCATTGGAAGTTGCTTATCACAAAATGGAGCTGCTATAGCATTTTCCTCAAGGACACTGTCGGAAAGCGAAAAACGTCACTCGTCAGTCGAAAAGGAAGCATGCTATTGTTGATTCGCTCTGGAAATGGAGACATTATTTAATCGGACGACCTTTTCGACTGATAACAGATCTGTTTCTTTTATGTTTGATGATAAGCATGCAGGAAAAATAAAAAATGCTAAAATACAACGATGGCGGTTGGAATTGGCCTGTTACAAATATGACATATTGTATATACCTAGACCAGGAATAGAGAAAACATAGTGGCTGATGCTTTCTCAAGGGTTTGTGCCCTTATAAATACTAAAGAAAAGGAAAGCCTGGAATAGAATTTTTATTCTTCTCAGTTGAATTTTGGCTCTACTTATAGTGGTGCAAAATGAGCTCATTCTCAAACCGCTATCTATTTCAACTGAATCGAAATTTGATACTTTTCCAGTTCAATATCTACTCTAGGAGAGCCAGGAACAATAATTTTACTGTTTTTATACTTCAAATTCGACTCAAAGAGAATCAAAAATGAGTCTTTTTATCTGTGACTGGTCAGAAATTAGGGTTTGATGTTCTAGGAGAGCCTGGAATAGAATTTTTATTCTTCTCAATTGAATTTTAGCTCTATTTTAGCTCTATTCCAAATGTAACTCTAAAATGGTGAAAGACATTGGAGTAACATAACGTCGTCAAGATGTCTTTAAGACGCCTATAAGACGTGCGCAAACGTCTAGAATGTCGTTTGTACACATCTTAAGGACGTCTTCAAGATGCTTCTGAGCTTCTGTGCTGTCTAGGAAAGTTTCTTTTAATTACATAAACTGAAAAGATCACAAAAAAAACTCCTGCTTCAAATTACACAATTTTAATAATGTAAGTAAATTTTTTGGAATATATTAGCCTTAAGTTAATATTACTTCAAAAGGTACTCTGTTTAATTGCACATTATTTTCAATAAATAAATAGTATTATTACTTATATAATTAAGAAATATTTACATATATTTTTACACAATTCTTTGGCATAATTAAAGGATTTTTAAGGCGGAAGAATCTCAAGCTTTTAAGAATAGATGGTCATTAATGTCATCTAAAAAACAAACAGTTAATTACAAAAATCAGTATGCAAATAATGATTACCTCTTCCAAAGAAATCGGATTGCTCTTCATTTTCGTATCTAAATTATGATAACGCTCTAAAACAAAATAAATAAGTAAAACGCAATTTTATTCAAACCATAGGTATTTTTACCATGAGCTAAATACAATCTTATAAGCGCCATAATGTAACTTTCCGGCGTAACAATTCGATTTTTGGCAAATCTCAGCACTAGACATTCTAGAACTTTATTGCTGACAGTGCATCCAGCTTCCCATAGAAGTGCTCTTAGATTATAGCTCGAGGTTTTACCGCTGTTATGACTTCGTTCGAATTTTTGAAAAGCTAGCTGAAATAATTTTGAATACAATGACTGATCAATTGGAATTTCGAGAGGGTAGTCACTTAAATACCTCCATTTGTGGAGACCTTCTTGGAATATCATAGATTTTCGCAGATCTGCATGATATCTCTATCCCATAACATAGAATTCCCATATTGACTACCCCCTCGTGTAAATTATCTTACCCTCCAAAATTGTAGCATATGTATAAGAGCGGGTAAATCGATTATATTAATTTTTCCGCTGATATTATAATCCTTCAGCATAATCAGACTTTTGCACAGCTCTAAACTAGGTTTCTCGCACAAATACGATTTCCAATTCGACTTGAGTATTTTCTGTAGCTGACTAGCGTCGACTTCGGGCGGATATTTGAGCAACAATTTCGGTAAGATCGACTTTCCTTCTTTCTAAAACAGATTTGTAAATGAAAATTTATACATTATATTATAATGGTGATGTTGGGTGAAAATATATTGAGTGTTAGTGCCAGACAAGGAGTTAATCATGTCCCAGAATTTGTACAAACAATTCCTCAAACTGCCCGCAAATTCCGAGGTTTTAACCCCTTATAACCACCCTCAAAGTAATTTCCAAGTCAAATAAGGTTTCCTAAACGGTGTATATTGGTACTGCCTATAACTTGCAGTACCATTTGTGCCCGAGACTAGGGTGGAAATGTCGATATTTTCACAAAAAACCCTTTCTCGATGAATCGCAATTAAGTTAGGAATATTGGAAATCAACCTACAATAACTGAATTATGTAATTGAAAATTCAGTCTCACACATTTCAAAGTTTTCTTGGAAAATTAGTGAGAGAAAATTTAAAACTTTTTGCATGTAAAGAGGAAAGTCTGAAGCTCATTTTTCCAAAATTTCAAATTTTTCCAATAGAATTTTCCTGGAAAACTGGTGAAGGGGAAATTTGAAACTTTTTGCATGTAAAGAGGAAGGTGAAAAGCGACTTGAGAAGCTCATTTTATCAAAATTCCAAATTTTTCCAGTGGAAAGCAGCAGCATGAAGAATCATAGAAATCAACCTACAAAAACTGAATTAGTTAAAAATAGAGTCTCACACATTTCAAAGTATACCTGGAAAACGAGTGAGGGGAAAATTTTGAAACTTTTTGCATGCAAAGAGGAAGGTGAGAAGCTCATTTTCCTTAACTTTCAAATTTTTCCAGTGGAAAATAACAATATAAAGAATCTTGGAAATCAACCTACAAAAACTGAATTAGTTGAAAATACAGTCTTACACATTTTAAAGTTTTCCTGGAAAACTAGTGGAGGGAAAAATTTGAAACTTTTTGTATGTAAAAAGGAAGGTTAGAGGCTCATTTTCTTGAAATTTCAATTTTTTCCAGTGGAAAATAGCAACAAGAAGAATCTTGGAAATCAACCTACAAAAACTGAACTAATTGAAAATACAGTCTCACACATTTCAAAGTATACCTGGAAAACGAGTGAGGGGAAAATTTTGAAACTTTTTGCATGCAAAGAGGAAGGTGAGAAGCTCATTTTCCTTAAATTTCAAATTTTTCCAGTGGAAAATAACAATTAGAAGAATCTTGGAAATCAAACCTACAAAAACTGATTAGTTGAAAATTCAGTCTCACGGATTTCAAAGTTTTCCAGGAAAATTAGTTAAGGGAAAATTTAAAAACTTCTTGCATGTAAAGAGGAAGGTTAGAAGCTCATTTTCCCAGAATTCCAAATTTTTCTAGCGGAAAATATAACAACATGAAGAATCTTGGAAATCAACTTACAAAAACTGAAATAATTGAAAATGCAGTCTCACACATTTGAAAGTTTTTTTGGAAAACTAGTGAAGGGAGAAATTTGAATTTTTTTGCATGTAAAGAGGAAGGTTAGAAGCTCATTTTCCCAGAATTCTAAATTTTTTTAGTAGAAAATAACAACATGAGGAATCTTGGAAATCAACCTACAATAACTGAATTAATTGAAAATGCAGTCTCACACATTTCAAAGTATTCCTGGAAAACGCGTGGGAGGAAAATTTTGAAGCTTTTTGCATGTAAAGAGGAAGGGGAGAAGCTCATTTTCTTGAAATTTCAATTTTTTCCCGTGGAAAATAGCAACATGAAGAATCTTGGAAATCAACCTACAAAAACTGAACTAGTTGAAAATACAGTCTTACACATTTCAAAGTTTTCCTGGAAAACTAGTGGAGGGAAAAATTTGAAACTTTTTGCATGTAAAGAGGAAGGTTAGAAGCTTATTTTCTTGAAATTTCAATTTTTTCCAATGGAAAATAGCAACATGAAGAATCTTGGAAATCAACCTACAAAAACTGAACTATGTAATTGAAAATACAGTCTCATACATTTCAAAGTTTTCCTGGAATGCTAATGAATGGGAAAATTTGAAACTTTTTGCATGTGAAGAGTAGAAGGGTTAAAGGCTCATTTTTCCAAAATTTCAAATTTTTCCAGTAGCAAATGACAACATTAGCAATATTGGAAATCAATCTACAATAACTGAATTATGTTATTGAAAATTCAGTCTCACACACTTCAAAGTTTTCCTGGAAAATTAGTTAAGGGAAAATTTAAAAACTTTTTGCATGTAAAGAGGAAGGTGAGAAGCTCATTTTCCCAAAATTTCAAATTTTTCTAGTGGAAAATAACAACATGAAAAATCTTGGAAATCAACTTACAAAAACTGAATTAATTGAAAATGCAGTCTCACACATTTCAAAGTTTTCCTGGAAAACTAGTGAAGGGAGAAATTTGAAACTTTTTGCATGTAAAGAGAAAGGTTAGAAGCTTACTTTCCCAGAATTTCAATTTTTTTTAGTAGAAAATAACAACATGAGGAATCTTGGGAATCAACCTACAATAACTGAATTAGGTAATTGAAAATACAGTCTCACATATTTTAAAGTTTTCCTGGAAAACTAGTGGAAGGAAAATTTTGAAACTTTTTGCATGTAAAGAGGAAGATGAGAAGCTTATTTTCCCAAAATTTCAAATTTTTCCAGCGGAAAATAACAACATGAAGAATCTTGGAAATCACCCTACAAAAACTGTACTCATTATTCTTTTGAGTTTTTCAAATTTGGACCTGTTAAATCATGAAGTGAAAGTTTAGAAAAATTTCTTTAATGAAAATTAATGTCCAACGTCCAACACAAAACTATATTTTTTTTCAATTTCTATTTATTAGTGTTTCTTAAAATAAAAATGTGAACCTCATTGACGTCAAATTTCCTATAAATTCCCCAAATTCTCATAAATTCCGATGAGTTTCTTCAAATTCCCTACAAATTTCTCTAAATTCTCCACATTTTTGGCAAAGAATTCCTTGGTGGTTTGACCCTTGATCGCAATTATTAGTTTTACCCCCTTAAACACCACCCTCAAAGTTATTTGCAAGTCTTTTTAGGTAACTTAGTAGCTGCAAAGTATTATAAGGTAGCTAGTACTAAGATCTCGGTTTACACAAAGTAGGTGGCAGGCTCAGATTCAACTTTGCGAATACATTCAATAGTTTTGTCAAGGAATATTCATTAAAAACATAAGTTTTTTGTTGAAAAATCAAACATTTTATGACATATAGATAGGGCATACAAATGAACCTATTTGCCTCATTCTACCCAACAAGTATTGAATAATTATTCTGCTAATGGCAGACAAAGCCCCCACTTCTAAAAAATAATACTTACATGAAGTGTAGATGTCGGATCATCAGTAAATTCTAAAGCTATATTTTTAATTAGCATATTATCTTCATTAACCTCCCTAAAACAATCATAAAAAGCTTTGGATTACATTCAATCCTTTCTCAACAACTTACCAAATATTGCTTTGTTCATCGGTCAATATCCTGAGCAAAAATTTCCCATCAACATTCGGTATATTCGTCTGAGGTACCACAATATAATCGCCTGGCGGTAACGTAAAAAACGTAACCACTTCTCTGGCAATTGAATGATTGGTTACATCCAGAGGTTTTTGTTCAGCAACAAAACTAGGAGTCAACCTTGGCATTGAAGGAGGCACCTCATACACAGCAAACCCAATAGCAATAAGTGGTTTCCTTTTTTTACTATCCATACAACTGGTTTCGTAACTTTGAGTAACCGAAACTACTACGTGACATTTATTACTGGTTGCTCTTGGAATTTGAACATGAAATTGTGGATTCATCGAAGTAGTCTCTGTATAAGTTGGTCCACCTCCTGCATTATATCCAGCCCTCCACCTTCTTCTTGCCAAAACAGCTCTCCAAGGTTGTTTAGAATGCAAAGCACTCTCCATCATCCAATCATCAGGTCCAATATGAACCAAATCCAGTTGGGTAAAATGTCTGGCGAAATCGTCAAAAGACATCCAAAATTCTCCATCGTTGACAACTCGCACGCTTAATAATTCTTTGTCTCTGGCGGTTAAACCATCCCATTCCCAAGATCTTTCGCTCCAAGCTCCAGTCCATTCGCCTCTGGCCCATGGGTTTTTGAGTCGCACCAATGGAATTTCACCTGATGTGCCTCGGACTCTTGCCAGGCCTGTTACTGAGTAGGAATGTTGAGTTATCAAGCCGTTTCTTAAACGGAGTTGACGTTTATTGTCTTTTTCTTGGGTGATTGTTGCTATGAGAAGACTAGATCTAGGAACTGCTGAGTTGAGTACTTGGAAGGTTAGAAAACGGTCTTGGTGTGACAAGCCAAAACTTTGTACGATGCCTCCTGTTAAATCTTGAAGGGCTTTTGTGGTTGAACCTTGCGTTAGGCTTTCATAAGATCCATAAAATCTAGAACGAAAGAATACAATTATTTATATAGTTGTTGAAATCCTGAAAATGTTGGTGGAGCCTTAACAACAACTTAACAAGTATTCAGGATTCTGGTTCTTACTTTGCATAAGCCTTTTCTAATAATGCGGCCCAAAATTCAGTAGAATTTGAACAGTGCAAATGGACGAGTCTTCCTTTGTGGGTGGGCAATTTGTCATCTACAACTATTTCTTTCCAGTCTCCAAAATGCCAGAATCGAAACCTAAAAAAAGAATACAATGTAAGAAAAATTCACAAGCAAATTAATTCATATAACAAAAAGCATAATAATATTTCATTAATTATTATTACCATTAAAAGTTGGAGAGTCTATATGCAACAGTTGGCAGATGGTGTTTTAATAAAATAACATTTTTGCTATAAGTAATAGAGACTTCTTCCAAATATAACACCAATGGAATGTAATATTTTATCATCTAATTACTATTACATTGTGTGGTAAAGCTTTGATAATTTTATCAAGTCTGTATCGCATTATCTTCCGAGAAGCTTCTCCCGACGACACAAGAAAAGACTCATAAAGTAACTTTTTTTTCTCGCATCAAGAATGCATACGGGAATTATCTAGATGGTTGCCCGACTTAATTTGTTTAACAAGATCACAAATTGCCATAGAGAGAAGATCGCAGATATTGTCAGCCATCTAAATTCTATTCATTCAACGAAATCTCTAATATCTTCATGCGTCTTCGTTCTCTTTTTGCTCGGTGCTTTGCACGATTTATAATTTTTTACTTTGACGTTTGATTTTTGGTCCATGGACCCCAAAAAATTCGTTTCCATTGGTATAAACTAGCCACCATCAAGATAATATAAAAAAAGATTAAAATGGCATCGAGGAGACAAGAACCGAACCGAGGACCATTACAAGCTTTGAGGAAGCTTAAAGCTCTTGAATAGACACGAACCGGGCATGCACTTGCTACTTTTATCAAGACAAGAAGACAAATACCCTATAAATCTAATTAAACGGTCTTTAGTACTATACAGGGAGCGGATTATAAGAATTCCGCGCCGAGGTTTACTGTCACCGTTTATCATTTATCTTTAAAAACATTTTCAAGGTAATTTATTCTAAATAAATAATTCTTAAAATTGCTCTCACAGTCACAAGAGAGCCATAAAAAAACTTTTCATTAAGTACCCCATTTGGACTTTGGAAGGTGCCTTCTGAGTTCTGACTAATAAGAAGGCGAGAAAACCTTTGAAAAAATTCTTTATTTTCAAAGAAGGCCATTGTAGATGTACTTCTCTGTGAGGATTCTTATACACCTGATAATACCTTATTGTAATTTGTAGTTAAGAATTAGCATAGGTCCATTGTTGTCATAAAGAATCAACAGTCTATCAATAAAATAATATACATATTTAGCAACGTCTAAACCTTAATATTAAAGAAATATAGCTGAATAGCTATAATTGGTGACCCCGACTGGAAAGATGAATCTACAATTCGATCTGAACAGGGAACAAAGCATATTACTGCTGAAGCATTTTGAAGTTAATACTGCAGGTACCCTTAATGATCTTAAATTGAAATTGGAGAATATCTTACGAGAACATTTCCCACATGAAGGAAACATTGGCGATTTTGATTCAAGTGAAATCAGTCATGAGATTCAGGGAAGTGATTTGGATTCGCAATATTTTGTCGTCTATACGGTTTCCTCAGACGAAGCAATTAAAGATCGGAATATACAAGGACGCAAGGCAATATCCCTACTAAATGGTGTACTGTGGGATCAAAATATCAATAAAAATACGCAACACCATAGTCAAAAGCATAGTCACGTATAGTTCAGAAGTCTGGCCACTAAAGATCAGAACCGCAAAAATGTTGGAAGCAACTGAAATGGACTTTTGGAGGAGATCGGCAGGCAGGTCAAAAATGAAAAAGAATAACAAATGTGAGAATAAGGGAGATTATGGAGGGACGTCAAATACACACAATAGTAGATGATATAAAGGACAAACAGCTGATTTGGTTCGGACATGTATATAGGGTGTCCCATTTAAGATGGTATTGGGGGTTATCTGCTAAACTCGTGGAGGTAGATTTTTTTCGCACGCAAAACGGCCAAAACTGGAGCACAATCTTTCAATGTGAGGCTAGTTCAAATCCTATATGCTCCATGGAGCATTGGACCCCCAATGCTCAACTCATGGTAGGTGATATTGTCACAACCCCTATACATTTCGTCCTGAGACGTCACAATAGGAGCGTAATCTGGGGGCGTAGGTGGGGTTCAGGTAGAGAGAAACTCGCTTGGTATAGGTATAATCTGAGGGAACGGTAGTGTCCCTCGCCAAGTTCGCGCACTACTGTATACCTTTTCTCGAAACAACTCAGGTCATTTTCGACCTACTTGTAACTCAGCTCTGAAGTGTCCTAGAAAACTGAAATTTTTCACAGTCGTAGATCTTTATAGATCTAATACTAAAACGCAATTACATCGATTTCCATCAACCAACAAAAAAGTCACATGACCTCAAAAAACGCCAATTTTGTCACTCACTCATGTATAGATCAACTAAATTCTAAGGTACTTCCAAACATGCTAGAAGGCTGAAATTTGGTATACTGATATAAGATACCTATGTATTGAATAATGATAATATCACCCTAGAAATAGTATCATGACGTCTCTTCTACGGAGGAACGTACTACTTATAGGCCACTCTGTATTCTGTATCCTCTGTGCATTTGGCATGACTGAAGACTGAAGCTAGCTTTGAGACAGGTCCAGAAGGGCGTTTCCCAATAAAAGTAGTTTGCACTGCACCTAGTCTGCTACGTTCAATTTTCGCAGAAGGGCGTTTCCCATTAAAGGTTGTTTGCACTGGAAGGAAAGTTAGCTACAGGGGCTTTTCCCATTTGAGGTACTTTGCTTTAGTCTGGCGGTAATGGATTTCGGTGTGGTATTTATACCAAATTATTGCTGACTTGTCAACACACTTTAGAGAAATTGATGTACAGAGTGATATTTACTTAAGTAATTGACAATATTGCGACCGCGTTGTAATCCTTGACCAAGCCCATGCATGACGGTCTATACTCCTCGGTATGTTCTGCATTCACTAAGTCTCTCCTACCGAGCTTAGTCAAGACCTTAGCAGAGTCCGGTACAAAAAACCAGCGACCATCGATTTTCAATATAAACTTTGAACATAAGTTCCCATAATTGAAAAAGAAGAATTTTGACTCCATGTTAAAAAGGTCTGCGCACAACCGAATCGTCCCCAGAGAAGGGAGCCAGGTCTAGCTTACCCACATCGAACAAAGTGCATATCATTCCCGTCAAAACCACCGTATTGCCGATGAATGTGGCCGTGGCCGCATCCCCAGATCTTCTCTGATATTGAACCCAAGCTTTCACACCATTGGCTGCATCATTCAATACTGCATGTTCGTACGCATTATACCATAAGGTTAGCACCCATTCAGGCCCGCCCATCATCCTATAAATTTCGATTTCAAAAAGCAGTAGAAGCCTACCCTGGTTTTTACGATTTTTTTCATATCAATCTCCAAGGAACACTTCCTCTCATCATCATACAATTCAGAAGTCAATTCGATATCCATGTCCAAAGCTTCACAGAAATCCTCAGGTGATTGGTCGCAAAATATCTTCACGGTTCTCTTAAGTGTGGATACCAATCACCATTTCACCTCCCTGAATATTGGGCACATTATCGCGTTTACGTCTTTCTCCGAATATACGATAGTCTGCATAAATTTGTAGTTATTTAACCATTTACTCCAGATTGGTACCTCAGTCTCTAAACTGTTCCTGACATCCCTAGGCTGACCATCCAACCACTCTCTCATGGAATGAACATTTACCTGTATGGGATTATCACGGTACAACCTCGACATCTCCACACCGTCCCGTCACTATCCGTACATTGACTTACGAATCTCTCTACCATCATGGACAATAAGTTTTTCTCCTCGACCAAACACTGAAGATCCAGTACGTTCTTATTCGGCTTAATTAATGCCAACAAAGTTTCCCTCTGTGAAGCGGTCTTAGAGTTAGGCTGAGCTGTTCGCAAATTTGGTTGCATACAATCGTATTTCTTTTCCTTGAATCTATCCTTGTCCCTCGTTAATTCTACTCTTTCCACCATGATGTCGAGTTTGCTATGAGCAACCAAATATGAGTCGGCACTCATATAGTGGATAGAATTACCCGGGAATATCACACCATAAGGCTTGCATTGTATTCAGCGCATCCTGAGTAGTGGGTATATAAAAATACATCAACAAAAGACTAACTATCCTCTCTTTCTGCTCCCTAATGCACAACATTGGTTGTAGGTTGCAGCCCAAGTAAGTATCAATCAGTCTCATCATCCACACTCATTTTAACCTTTCGTTCTGGAACTATACTATATCCTCCTTTAAACCTAACCAGGGCAGCGTTCAGTTTCCTCTTAAACGGGTTCGCCAATATTAATGTTGCCAAAACGTCGGTGATGACCATCGTAACATAAGTAAAAGTCTTTCTGTGTCTGGATATCGCTACTAGAGCGTATGCCTCTCGTTTGTACAGTTGTTCCTCTAGTTTATCTGGCGCCTCCACCATATGTCACAGACTCTCTCGGGGGGTGTAGGGTGGATAGGTGGAGAGAAACTCGCTCAGTTTTAAATAAAAAGGTGTATATTTGGTGAGAAGTTATTACGTCATGAATCCTCCAGTATATATGCTCTTCCGTGGGAAGGGGCACACGTCTGACGCTACTTAGGAAGGAATGTCTGTTTGACGCTGATGTTACGTAAAATGTTAATCCTCGTTCAACTGATCTTCATCTAGAGAGGCTTTGCCAGGGTGGCGGTACTTGCACTAGGGTGGCGGTACTTGCACTGGGGCGACTTGATTCCAGAGGGGTATATTCCCAGGGTGGCGGTACTAACACTGGTTCAAGTCTGCCTGTTGCTCAGTTTGGCCCACTATTTATATGAATTTATTGTGGACTTGCAATAAACCTTCGATCGAATCAGCAATTAAGGTTGAATACCGGGTCCTCCTTTCCTGAGTAGCTAAATGACATAAATATTGGTAAATACAAATACAAAAGAATATACAGTGAGGGGCAGGCTACTAGGTATATAGGATATAACTTGACGAATTTGCAGGAGTCCGCATGTGGCAAAATGACAAATATATTTAGTGCTAAAGGGTCATTTACATCCACTTAACTTAACTTGACGTATGGAAAATTAATAATAAAAAAATTTTGAAGATCACATAGTTGTTACATCCACTTAAAAATTAAGAAAATTAACGTGACACACGAAAAGTTGAACCAACTTAAGAAAATCCGTGCAATAAATAATAATTTCCATTTCTGTGCATATAATTTGACTTGACAGTTCAGGTTATAAGTGCGCATACGTCATGTAAGATAATTTACTTCATTATTAACAGACACCTTCTCAGTTTCCTACGTTAGTTATAATTTTCCGTACCTTAAGTTAAGTTAAGTGGATGTGAATGACCCTTAACTCATGACAACCAGGTAAAAACAAAACGTGAAAAGACCTGTCACTCAAAAAACTAAGGCTAAAGACACAATGGCTGAGATACGTTTTCGGATACGAGACTAGGCCCGTAACTATGCGGACTACGAAACCACCGTATCTCGATGCGGCGACAGATACATATAAAAATTCAGGATAAGCAAGTAGACACTTTAAGCAGGTCCTGAATTTCAAACGTAGGTATCTAACGCGGGATAGATAGTAAATACGGTGGTCTCGTTGCGATACGTTGTCCGTATAGTTACGGGCCTAGCCTCGTATCTGTATCCGAAAACGTATCTCAATCATTTGACACTATTGAGGGATCTACCTGTCAGTTATTACTAAAATAACTTCAAGAACATAAACACAGTACCTATGGATAAAAATTAAACTTACAAACACAGCTACAAAATCAAAACAAAACTTTTTGTGGGTAGAAAACGTGTCATCCAAGGATACGATCGTTTACGTAATGTATGACCATGAAAGGACTTTTAGGCGGTCAACGTAAGTCGATGCGTTGACAGAAG